GCACAGGTTCCCATCTGCATTCCAGATGTTTGCAGTGACTAAAGGGTAGGGTCAGGGGCCCGGGTGACACACCAGGGAAGGACACTCCGTGAAGGATGCTCCTGGTTATCCCTGGCTTGCAATTTCCTGCTTGACGTAAACTTCATGAGTCACGGTCTCAGTACTGGCTTGATTTCACAATCCACACGGATGAGTGCAGACACCACTGTGTCCCCTGCCAGGACATTTCCAGCCATCGAGATTCCCTTTCTTCGCCACTCTCCCCAGGACATCAGGGATTTGTTTTGGAAGCTTGGAGGGAGCAAAGCAGGGAAAGGTAGGCAGAGGCCTCCCTCCGAAGGCCAGGAATGCCCTAGGCAGCCTGATTATGTGTTTTTCTTCCCAAACACAGACACACCCGTTTTATTGAGCATCTACTATGGGCAGAGAATAGATGAGGCAAGATTGGGCAATTGTCAAAACCAGAGCTCTTGGATCAGCTGTTAGGTCAGATGCTTTTGGGCTGTGCAACCTTGTGAATTTACCTCTGACAGCCTCAAATCCTTTGTTTGTAAAATGGTAAATAGTGGATTAAAAAATGGTTTGTAGGGATCAGCGATATAGCACCTGCCTGGCAAGCATGAGATCCTGAGTTCGATTTCTGATACCAAAATAAATAAACAAGAATTCAGCAGCCAGATACTGTGGCACACTTCTGTAATCCCAGCTTCTACTACTTGGGAGGCTGAGGCAGGAGGATTGCCAAGGTCAAGGCCAGACTGGGAAACAAAGGGAGATACCATCCCAAAATAAGAAATGAAAAGGCACGTGGTTGTAGCTCTGTGACATTTGCCCAGCATGGTCAAGGGCCTGTGCTGGGTTCAGTTCCCAGCACAGAAGAGGAGGAGGCAGAAGAGTGTGGGGGGAAGGGAAGGAAAAGAGGAAGAAGACAACATATGTGGGTGTAAAAAATCTTAAACAGTTTTTCACAATCATTAACTAGGAAAGCAGATATCCATGGGCACTGCATGTGTATATTTACAATATTAATTCAATGATTGTAATTCTATTGTAATAGAAATGAATACTCAGGGAAATCAGTTTGGACCCTCACATATTGCTGTGACACAGCCCCCTTGCTTAGCAAGAACTGTGAGCTCCTGGCCTCAGTGAGGTCTCACTTCAAGGAGACTCCTAGCCCGGTGTGTAATGCACACCTAGAATCCCAGCACTTGGCAGGCAAAACAAAACAAAATAAAAATCAAAGCATCTCCTCCTGCTGCGAAATCTCATCAGAAACATACTAGAGCCTGACATCCTGAGGCCTCCTCTGTTCCCAAAGCCGAGACTGTGCCCTGTATGTAGCAGCTGCTTCCCAAGGATTTGTTTCTTGGAATTTTGTTTGTTTTGTTGTTTGTTTGGCTGAGACAGGGTCTCACTAGGAGTTGAGTTTGGTCTTGAACTCACCTTTGAGGCCCAGGTTGGCTCAAACTCTTGGTAATAATCCTCCTGCTTCAGCCTCCCATGTGCCCCACACCCAGTGTTTGTTGAAGGAACAACTAAAAAGTTAGATGCTCTCCTGAGCTCTGCAGGCACCAGCACCTCTAGTTCACAGAGGGCAGCTGAGTTTTGGGGAGATGGGAAGGTGGGTGCAGAGCCTTGGGGTCACCTTTCCCGGTTATGGACTTGAATGCGCTTTGCATCTGGCCTGAGCCCCACAGAGCACTCAGAAAGCTGAGCGTCTGCCACCACGGGGTGCAGAAACAGCTGCAGCCTTAGCAGGAGGCCTGAGCCCCCTGTCTACACCAATGGCCTGGGTGACCTGCAGGATATCCTTCTCCCTTGGCTTCAGGTTTCCCTCTAGAAAAATTTAAAAATTGAAACAGATTTGTTTTTAGATTGAAAATACTCTGATTTTGTTATTTATCTTTTAATGATTTTTAAATAGCTGATACATAATAATTGTATGTATTTATGAGATACAGGGTGATAATTCAATACATGGATAGGATGGCTGGTAATCAGGTCAGGTCAATTAATTCCCCTTCCTTACATTTATCATTTCTCCCCACTGGAAAGCTGAGTGCTTCTCTCTTGCAGTTCTTGGGTTTTGTGATTTTAGTGCTGTGGATTAAAACAGGGCTTCCTGCAAGCCAGGCGAGAGCTCTACACTGATCTGCACTTCAGCCCCGAGTATTTTTAAACTGAGACTTAATTCACATGCTATATAAGAAGAGGGTTTTACAACTTTTGTTTGTCATGGAATCTGTGATTCCCAAATTAAACATGATGTGTAGATCAGATTCTACAGAAACGGGGTGAAAGGGGACGGCTCTCGAGAGGGGAGAGTGGCATGAGAACTATGCTTGAGGCCAGGGACATAGCTCAGTGGTACAGCACCAGCCTGGCAAGTGCAAGGTCCTGAGTTCGATTCCCGGTACCAAAAATAAAAAGAACTGTGCTTGGGGACCTGTGACTTCTACTGTGCCCTCCCCCATGGGCCCCCGAAGCAATTGTAGTTTGAAGACCACCACACGAGAGTTACATCACGTTTTAGGGGTAGGGACTCCCGGGAGTGCAGGGAGGCCCCTGATCTCCCAACTCGCATGCGAGCGCTGTTCTTTGAGTCAGTCCAGCTGCCTCCAGCAGGTCATGAGAAAGCAGGCAAGGGCAGGCCAGGCTGCAGGAAGTGGAGCAGGCCAGCTGGGAGGCAGCACAGGCGCTGGTACCGCGGCCTCCTGGATGGGCCGGTGACATCACAGCCCCAGGAAACAGCTGCCCAAGAGGCCCGCACTGTCCCTCATGTGTCCTCTGGGAAAATCAGCCACCAGCTGTTGTGTTCTTCTTCTTAGTCACTTTTGCACTTCCTGGATTGTCCCCTCGCAAACCAGCATCTTCAGCAGTAGCAGCCACTTCCTCTTCGGTGCTGACCCACTGTGCGCCGGAACCATGCTGCTCCAACAGCCCAGCTGTGTGCCTTCACTTGTATCATTCACTTTAATCGTCACACCCACAAGGAGGCGGGACTGGCGCCACCCCCATTTTCCAGATGGTGAGTGGCCCTGGCATGCAAGGCAGGTGGTACTCGCCGCCCAGCTGCTACATGCCAGGGCCAGCATTTGAACCTGGTTCTGCCTGGCTCGTGTTCCTGCTCTTTACATGACTCACCCCACCGTTCAAATTAGTACAAACCAAGGCCAGCTATGATTTTTCTTCTTACATGCAATGGGGGGTTTGAATAGAAAACTCAGTTTCTTTCTTTTCCGTGCCAGGATCAAACTCACAACCTTGCTCTTGCTGGACAGGTGCTTGTGCCACTGAGCTCAGCACCCTTCTCCCCAGTTTCTTTATTAATGACACTCCTGGTCTATTGTCTGGACTGTTTCATGCTTAAACTCTGTCTGGTATGCCGCATATGGTAGCTATTGCTATGAGTGTCCCCACTTACAAAGGAGGAAACTGAGGCGCAGAGGAACGAAGTCAATTACTCAAGACCATGGTACAAGCAGGTGCCAAGCCAGATGTGCAGGACCACAAGGTGGACCCATTTCCATTCAGCCCTGAGTTTCCCAGCCAGGGTTTTTCTCTGCTCGCCCCGTATTAGTCCCTTAGGCCTGCAATCATGAAATGACTGTGAATGTGGTGGCTTGTCAGACCGTCCTTTCTCACCGTCCTGGAGGCCAGCAGCCCAAGATTAAGGTGCCCCGTTCCATGCCCCTGTCCCAGCTTCCAGTGGCCACCAGCAGCTCCCGGCGATCCTCAGCATGGGTCTCCTCACTCTGTTTGATCTCTTCTCTCTGTCTTCCTTCTTTCTTTTCTTTCCCTTGTAAGGACAGCAGTCTTTGGACTCAGGACCTTCTCCTAAATAATCACCTCTTAATTACATCTGTAGCCAAGCATGGTGGCAGACCCCTGTAATCCCAGCACTCTGGGAGGCTGAGACAAGAGGAGGATTGTAATATCAAGCCCAGCCTGGGCAATTTAGAAAGACTTTGTCTCAAAATAAAAAATAAAAAAGGGGCTGGGGAAATAACTCAGTGTGTTGGGGCTGGGGATTTAGCTCAGCGGCATAAGCACCTGCCTTGCAAGTGCGCAGTCGTGAATTCGATCCCTGGTACCGATTTTAAAAAAAAAAAGTGCAGGAAATAACTCAGTGTGAAAGTCCTGGGTTCAACCTTTAGTAGTAGTTAAAAAAAATATGTATATATATGTCCTGTTTCCCAAATAAGGTCACACTCATAGGTATCAGGTGTTAGAATTTGGACAAATCGTTTTGGGGACCTAATTCAGCCCACTATGTCACCCCCACCACCTCTGTTCAGCAAGTCCTCACTGAGTGCTGAGCTGGTACACAAAAATCAGATCTTATTAGCCGCTCGTGAGCAAGGTGGACGAGGTGCTGACAGTGGTGGGTGGTTTTCAACCTAACTGTATTTTTTTTCTTTTGAGACAGGGTCCTGCTATGTAGATTAGGCTGGTCTTGAACACACTATGTAGCCCAGGCTGGCCTCCAATTGGTGTTCCTCCTGCTTCAGCCTCCCAAGTACAGGATTACAACCCACCATGTCCAGCTTCAACCTAACTGTGGAGTTAAAGAACATGAACACACAAAGGATAGCAAGTAATAATACCTAGGGTGGGGAGGGGAGGGAGCATGTTCTGTCTAATTAAGTACTTACTACGTGTAAGATTCTTTAGGGGAAAATATATACATGGGCAGAAAAAGGCAATAGAAGAAAGAGCCTGAACTTGAGCTGAACAGAAAGACGCCATAAGCAGGCTTTTTTGCCTGTGCCTCAGTTTTCTCACTGTCAAATGGGATGATAGCATTATTTGATTTGCAAGATTTTTAGGTATAAGTAAAATCAATCATCTACAAGTTCATTTGAAAAAGTGTTTATTGAACTTGTTCTATTTTCTGTTTATCAGGCACGTGATGTACAGTAAGGTGCTGAAAATGCCTACCACCAAGGATGTTAGGCAAACTCTACCCTGGAGCCGCTTCTGTAGTCCTTTCTGCTTTAGTGTAAGAGACAATTTCACCCAGTTGCCCACACAGGCCCTGAACTTGTGATCCTCCAGCCTTAGATCTCCAAGAAAGAACTTAATAAATAACAGCTCCTGTCCTCTTTTCCCTAATTTGTAAGTCAAGTAAAGTTCAGGGCAGTCATAAGACAGACCAAGCTGAAGGTCGGTCGAGCAAAGAGCACGAGCTCTGTGTTCAGAGAAGAAGGAGGTTGTGGCCAGTGCTTCCCGGGGGACGTGAGTTTGAAGCAGAGCCTGGAGAACCAACAAGAAGGAGAGGAGAGAGAACTCCACGCAGCAATTGTGGTATGAATAAAAGACTGGGCTGGGAGAATAAGATCAGAGAAAAATAGGTTTGGGCCAGATGGCGACCATTTCTAAAAGATTCTGGACATTTTCAGGGCAAATAAGGCATCAGTGAAAGTGAGAAGAGGATGAAGAAAAAAGAAAAAAACCTCAAGGGTAAGTACAGATGAGAATGTACTTACCCACGTCACAAATATTTGCTTTTTTTTCAATCTCGCTCCAACTTGGGTATCACCTTTTCTGCAGGGCATTTCCTACAAGGGACTAGCTCTATGTATTTCTCCTGTGTGTAGCTGGAGTGCTTTTCCCAACCAACACCTCGCCGAAGACAGTGACCGTATTTTACCACCATTATATCCTAGTGCTTGGCTGAGAGCTGGCCATCGGGTAAGTGTTCGACAAGCATTTCATTGCATGAGTGGATGGCTTTTACATTTCTGTGTTATATGAGAGCATGAAATCTTGAAACAGCATGCAAGCATTCACATCTCCTGGGCATGGTGGGGCATGGTGGTAATCCCAGCCACTTGGGAGGGTGAGGCAGGAGGATTACAAGTTCAAGGCCAGTTGGACAATTTAGGGGGCCTCTGTCTCAAAATAAAAATAGAGCTGGAGGGGGCTGGGGTGTGGCTCAGTGGTAGAGCTCCTGCATGCACAAGACCCTGGGCTTGATCCCCAGCACCACACATACTAAATAAATAGCTGGAAGTATATCTCAGTGTTCTCTGAGTTCAATCCCCATTTTAGCAAAGTAAATAAATAAAGCGAAACTCATATTTCCTGCCTGGAATAAATATAATATTAATATGAACAGTCGAAGCCAGACAGGTGGAAGGGAGTGGAATGGCCAGCCTGCCTGTCTAGCAGGACAGAATCACACAGAAGTCTTGTGAGGCTAACTCACAAGGGAATTAAGACTACACTATGGGCCCACTGGGCCGTGTTGCTTCAGCCAGGTCAGCCAACTCTGGCTGCGAAAGGCTTTCTTTAAACAAGCCAGCAACTAGAGGCTTGCATGGAGCAGGGAGGGAACTCATGGGACTCAGCCTCCTCTTCACAGCCTTGAGACTTGAGGACACCAGCAAGGCTAACTCGGTGTTTCGATAAGAAACAGGCGGTTTCTTGAAGGTTTATTTTGTTTCTGGAGCCACCAGATCCAGTGGGCGGATCACATCTTGAAATAGAAGGATCTCGAAAGGCCTGTGAATCATTTCTGGGCGCCAGCCTGCACGGTTTCATATCCTGTTCTCAGCCTTACCTTGGGCGCGCACTGTGTGTGCGTGTGTGGCTGTATTGTTTTCAGGCTTGTTTGCTTAGGATTTGGTCTTGAAACTTTTACTTTCTTTTAATAGGCTTTTTTTTTTTTTGAAGCTGGAAGAATTTTTCAAATGGTTTTTGTGAGAAAGTTCAAACCCTGAGATGACTAAGTCACTGGAAGAATTTGGACTTTGTGAGGGGATTTGTATTTGGTATAAATGACACAGTCACTGGTTTCTGCAGCAAGATCTTTTGGAAAGCTTCTAGGTCAGCCCCTTCATTGCCTACATGGGGAAACTGAGGCTCAGGGATGGAGAGAGTTCAGCTAAGGTCCTGCAAGGGTGTGAGAGCCAGCTATGAGTTTGCAAGAACCTCCCATGCACCCTGCCTTCACTTAGTGGGATATGTTTTTAAAATTAGCAGAGGAGAAGCTGGTGGGGGGACTCAGTGGTAGAGTGCCTGCCTAGCATGCCTGAGCTCTGGGCTTGATCCCCCCAGAGTTCAGGCGCACGCGCACGCACACACACACACACACACACACACACACACACGCACGAATTAGCAGAGGAGCAGAAAGATCTTGGAAGTGCAGAAACAGTAGGCTAGGGAAGGAGGCACAGAGGAATTTTCAGTGCATTCACTTGTTGACTCCTCCCCAGGACCCTATTAAGCAGTGGTTTTCAAACAGGATTGATTGCACCCCCAGGGGACATTTGACAAGGTCTGAAGTTATTTGGGTCTGTCAAAAACTTGTGTAGGGGTTGCTACTGGCACCTGTGGGTGGAGGCTAAGGACACAACTAAAGCTTCTACTGCAGGAAACTCCCCCAAAGCAGCAGCATCTGGCCCCAAACACCAGCAGTGCCAAAGCTGAGGAACCCCACTGGACAGAGTCCTCTGTCACTCTCCAGCTCCACCCAGGAAAGCTGAGATTCAGAAGCTGCAGCCACAGCTGGCCGCGTGGCCTGGGACAGAGTAATCTCTTGATGCTTCAGCTTCTCATCTATAAAATGGGGATAACAGGACCTCTGTTGATAGTGGCTATGATGATTAAATATGTTAATACTTGTAAAGCACTTAGAACATTGCCTGCTACATAGTGTTAAACAAATCTTAAAAAAATAAAAATTAAAAAAGCTTGCCCAGCATACAAAGTCCATGAAAGAAAGTAACAAAAATGCAGGTGAAAAATAAATCTAAAGATGAGGAAGGGCACAAGGGCAGGAAGGTGGCAGACATTCTAAAGCATAGGAGCTAGAACATACTATATCCTAGGGCAGGTGCGTGACATCCGCGTGATGTCCCATGTCCCCCGGTGGTGGTGGAGGTTTTCCTTTATAGACCCTGCTGCTGCCCCTGCAGATCCATCTTTCCAGGTTAAAGCAACACGCACTGTTACGCCTACTTGGCAACTCTGACCCTGTAACCCCTCTCAGTCACTAACAGCAGCTCAGGGTGAATTTGTTTTTCAGGTTCCTCCTGGCACATAGGCCGACTGCAAGGTATAATGGACTGGAAGCTGGCAAGCTTAGTTCTGAGACAGGCTCAGGGAAGCGATCACAGGTACACAGTAGCCCTGAGTAACCCAAACCACACATCCCTCGTGCCCACACCAGCCAACACTGCCCGGAACCGGCCTCCAACCCAGGCCAATCCATGCCCTGCTCTCCCCAGCCTTGCACCCACCAGGACCTGCATCTGACACTCGACCTTCACTTCCGATGGCTTTTACTCAGCCTGGGCACATTCCCTGCTGTTCCACTCTGACCCTCCCATCCCATCTTTGCCATGAGATTGGATTCATCCATCGGCCACCAGGAAAGGCCACCTTTGGGAGCCATTGCTGTGTGCAGCTCCAAGCTAATGTCGCTGGTCGGTTCTCTGGCAGCATCTGGGCCTTGTGGAAAAAATAGGCAGAGGCTGTGGTGGGAGCAGAGGCAGGAAAAGCCAAGAAGAGCCACCCCACCCTTTTCTGCCTGGGACCCCCCAGGCCAGCTACTCGTTCAAACATCGTGGGCCATTTCTGGAGCGTCAAAGCTGAGTGTGTCACTACTCTTCTTCCGTGGAGCCTAGCAGCCCTGTTTCCACTGTATCCATTTTCAACTGCTGCTGTAACAAAATACGACACATCAGGGGCTGGGGATTTAGCTCAGCGGCATAAGCACCTGCCTTGCAAGCAGGCGGTCGTGAGTTCGATCCCCGGTACCGATAAAAAGGAAAAAGACAAAAAAAAAAAAAAAAATACTACACATCAAATGGTTTAAAACAAAACTTGTTTACTATCTTACACTTATGCAGGCTAAAAGCCCAAGCTGATCTCACTGAGCTAAAATCTAAGTGTCAGCAAGGCTGGGGTCTTTTCTGGAGGGCCTGGGTAGAATTTATTTCCTAGCCAGGTATGGAGGTGCCTACTTGTAATTCCAGTACTCTGGGAGGTTGAGTTGGGAGGATCACAAGTTTGTGGGCTGCAGATACAGCTCAGTAGCACAAGTACCTGCCTGGCAAGCATAAGGTCTTGAGTTTGATTCCTAGCTACCAAACAAACAAACAAACAAACAAACCACAAAACCAGATTCCAGGCCATCTTGGGCAATTTAGACTTACTGAGAACTTGTTTTGAAATAAAAAATGATTTTAGAGAGGGTTGGTGACATAGCTCAGTATAAAGGTCCTAGAATCAATCCCAAGCACTGCAGGGGGGGGGGGAAGAAATTAGAATCTATTTCCTGCCTTTTTTAGGTTCTAGAACCTGCCAGCAACTCCTTGGCTCATGCCCCTTGCTCTGTCCTAAAGGCAGCCACACTGCATCTCTCTGGCCCTGCTCCCAAGAACATCTTTCTTTTACTCCACTTTAAGAACCCTTATGGTTACATCGGACTCATCCAGATAATCCCAAGTACACTCAGTATTCTAGGGTCAGGTGATTGGCAGCCTTATCCCATCTGCAGCCTCACTTCCCCTTGGCTGAGTGACATCACATTGGTGCAGGTTGCCAGGGTAGGTAGAGCCACCCCATCTGCCTGCTACATTAACCAGCGGGGAGAGGTGTGGACCTCACCAACCTACCAACCCCCTCACCCCGCGCATTGTGAAGGGGCGACTGCTGCTCAGCCCCAACTGAAGTCATCATTATGACCCAGCCTGCCAATCTGTCAGGTGAATCTGGAAAAATCACATTTTCAGGGCTCATTTTGAAATCACTGTGCAGACAAAGGGGAAGAAAAAGAAAGCAGAGGAGGAAGAAAGGAAGGAAGGAAACGGAGAAAGGGAGAAGGTACAGAGGGAAGGAGAGAGGGAAGAAGGAAACTCAGGGGCTGGATTTGGCATGAAGCCACTCAGGTGTGACCCTGGGTCCGGCTGGCTCCACCTTGGCCTAGGTGAGAGGATGAGAAGCCACCTGGTGCTCACAGGTTCTGCAAGTTCTGGGACCTGCCAGTGGGAGGAATGTGGCCAGGAGCCAGTGAGTCCCCAGGGGATGCCTCAGGGGAAATTTCTGCGGGAGAAGGGACCTGCCATGTCCCTAAGGGACCAAGCATCACCTGCAGGAGCAGCGGAGCATGAAAGAGTACAGGAAATCAGACCGAGGCGACCTAAGAAATCAACCAGAGTAAGGTGGGCTTCATGCCTCGTGAGCCCAGAACACACCCAGCACAGCCTTCTAACTTCAAGAGGCCGGGCCTTCCCTCTCCCGCCCCAGCAACCCTGGCGCTGGCAGTGGGCCGGCCTTGGTGGAAGTGAGATTTTTCACCTTGTGCCTCTTTATGTGACTTGAGATGAATGAGCTAATAAAACACTTGAAATAATGCAAGATCAATGCACACAAACTTTTCTTGCACATAAATATTGACATAACTATTTTTGCCACTCTCTTAACCTTGTTTATTTTCAGTGAGGGAATCATTGAAATCCTAACAATGTAAGGTATAAAAAAAGGCAATCTAAAATGAAGTGAATTTAGGGGCTGGGGATTTAGCTCAGCGGCATAAGCGCCTGCCTTGCAAGCAGGCAGTCGTGAGTTCGATCCCTGGTACCGGTAGAAAGGAAAAAGACAAAAAAAAAAAAAAAAAAGAAGTGAATTTGAATAACAATAAAATAAAATGAAGTGGATTTAACTCCTCTAAATCTGCATGAGCACCCTCTAAAGGAGATAGGATTGTCTCCATTTTATAGATAGAGAAACTGAGGCTTGGAAAAGGGAAGTGAGCTGCTCGGACACTGAATTCAGAGACAGAGAAAACAGGGGCTTGAGACAGGTTTCAGAACTCCAGACCCAATGGGTCCATGCATGAGGCTGTCCTACGGGAGGATATAAAGTAACAAAGGTGTTCCTTTGTTAGTTAGTTTGAGGTCAGCGTCTCCCCTTCATGGACCCAGGTCAAACAGATCCAGGAACAGGTCAGGTTCCTGGCTCGCTTCTAGTCTCTACTTGGAAGCCAAGTTCCGTGGTCCCTTGGAGGAGACTGGGTCAGGGAGGGGGTGTCCTGGCGTGGAAATGGCTGCAGCCTCAGCTGCTGCCTGAGTTTCTTTCTAGAGGGGCTTTCCCAGCACCCCAGACTTATCCCCAACCTCTACAGAGCAGCTGGTGGGACTTGCAAACATGGCTGTCACCCAACTTGGGGGTTAAAGCCCCCAGCAGACAGAGGGCACTTGCGGCAGTTCCCAGGGGAGGAAGAACGAACGTCAGGGGCACAAGGCAGCTGGCTTCACCTGCGACATGATGGGATAACAAGCGCATCCAGCCCAAAAGTTGTTGCAAGAATTATTTTCCGTTTGTTTTTTCCCTACTCTGGAGATAGGGTCTCACTATAGTACCCCATCTGGCCCCAAACTCCAGGCTTCAAATAATCTACCTGCCTCAGCCCCCCAAAGAGTTAGCCTATAGGAAGTGACACCAGAGCACTTGCATTTTCTGCCTGTCTGGTTTGTCTTTCTGTCTTTCTTTTAAAAGAGATTTATTGGGGTAGAGTTACATATCACAAGATCTACCCTCTTTATCACACGTGCAGTCCAGTGATTTTTAGTGTACTTACAGAGCTGTGCAAATATCACACCACTTTGGATACAGTTTCATCATCCAACCCACACCCTATACACTTTCAAAAATCTCTCCTTCATCCCACCCTAGCCCCAGGCAACCATTAATCCACCTCTTGTCTCTCTAGCTTTGCCTTGTATGGAAATCTCACATATAAGCCACACATTATGTGGTCCTTTGTAAGTGGCTCCTTCATTTAGCATATTCTTGAGCTTCATGCATGCTGTTGCATATTCTGTAGTCCATCCCTTTTTATGGCTGAATAGTATTCCGTTGTGTGGTTATGCTGTATTTTGCTGATCCAGTCATCCACTGGTGAACATTTGAGTCCTTTGCACTTTTTAGCGATTGTGAACAATGCTTTCTAATGCACACCCCTGTACAAGTCTTTGAGTAGACATGCAGCATTCATCGTACTTGCTGGATCGTATGGTAAATTTCTTTTTTGTTTTTTGGTCATTTTGAGACAGGGTCTCGCTATGTAGTTCACGCTGGCCTTGAGCTCACTTTGTAGCCTAGACTGGTCTCAGACTTGCAAAGATTCCTTTGCCTCAGGCTCCTGAGTGCTGGGACTACAGGTATGTGCCACCCTTACAAGCTCCTTTTCATTTTTCTAAGTTTTTCTAAATTTTGAGACAGGGATTTGCTAAGTAGGTAAATAGTCCAGGCTGGACTCGAACCCGTGATCTTTCTACCTCAGTCTCCCAGAGTGCTAGAATTACAGGCATACACCACCACCATATTCAGCTTAACATTTTTTTTTTTTTTATTGGTACCAGGGATCGAACTCACGACCGCCTGCTTGCAAGGCAGGCGCTTACGCCGCTGAGCTAAATCTCCAGCCCCCAGCTTAACATTTTTAAAAGAAATTTCCAAGCTATTTTCCAAAGTTTTGTATTCTTGTCAGCACTGTATGAGAGTTTGTTGAGAAAATCATACGAAGTGTTTAGCATAGTACCTGGTCATCATACATCCTTCGTTCATGATACCAACAGAGGCTTCGACAGAATCAAGCATAACTATAGGATCCAGAGTGCTGTTGCCCAACTCCCTGCATACAGCAGATCTCCAGGGGCCGTGGATGTAGCTCAGCGGCACAAGCCTCCGCCTGGTGAGTGTGAGGTCGTGAGTTTAGTCCCAGTATGAAATAAATAAATAAATAAATAAAAGCAGATCTGATAAAGACACTCACTCTGATCTATTTGGCCACCTTCCCTTCCCACCTTAAAAACATGCTTACATAGTTTTGGCCTTTTAGCCAAGTTCACTGGATACCCCACCTCCACCTACTCACCAGTCTTGGCTAATACCTACCCCCAACGCCCCACCTTCTGCCCAGGTGAACAGATTCACCTTGCCTCCTGTCATTGCCTCCCTTCTCCTTTCTGTTCACCTGCCTTCTCTTCAGGCAGTAAAATCTCAGCTGGCTTCAAGCCTCAGTCCTCTCCTAAGGTCCATTTTGACTTTCTTCAAGCAGATCAGCATGGCCTGTACCACTGAGCACTGTAATGTGGCTAATCCGAACCAAGAGATGCTGAATTATAAAATGCACACCAGATTTTAATGACCTACTATGCAAATAATGTAAAAATGATAGCTTTTCATATTAATTGCATTTTGGAATAATATTATATATATTATATATATATATTAACTGAAAGGAATTTTACTATCCTTTTTTTTTTTTTTTTTTTTTTTTTTTTTTGGTATGGGAATCAAACTCTGTACCTCATTCTTGCCAGGCAGGTGCTTATGCCACTGAGCTATATCCCCAGACCTGTACTATCCTTTTCTTAATGTGGTTTTACCCACCAAATTTAAAATTATACATGTGATTCACATTTGTGGCTTGCCTTATAGATTTATGGGGCAGTGAGGATGTAACAGCATCGATATCGTAATGGCATTATTTATTGAGAACCTATTTCTTCTACTTTTATATCTGTTAACTGATATAGAGCTCACCATAATTCTGTGGGGTGAATATTATGAATATCTCCTTTTACAGGTAAGGAAACTTACAGGTAAGGTAAGCAAGGATGTGATCTCCCTCAGGTCATAGCTGGACATTGGCAGATTCAGGATTCAAACCTAACTTCACTCCAAAGTCTGTGTTCTTCCAAGGTCTCTTGTTGTCCATACTGCTAAAACTCTAAGAACTTTGGGGTGTCACTGGCTAGGGTTGGGGTGTCTTTGGGATCTGTCTGGAGTATGGTTTGCTCTTTGAATTAGACTAGCTCTGTATGGTAATGAATCATGCTAATCAGAAACTTAGGCTGAATGCTTGTCTTTCATAAATAAAAAATGAGAAAGCAGATTAAATAATATAAGCAGTGCATTTAGAATAAATCAGATCTTGGGATTTGTGGGTGGAATAAAAAGCTGAGAACAACTGCTTAAACAAATATCATTTTTCTTTCTTTTTCAGCCCCCTACCTTTTTTTAAAGATTTTTTTTGAAACAAATTCTTGGTAAGTCACTAAATAGGACAGAGTGGGCTCAAACTTGTGCTCCTCCTCCCAGAGCCTCCCAGAGCTCTGGGATTACATGCCTGCCCCATCACACTCATTTTGAACTGATGCTCACAAAGAAGGACCGTTGTCAGTGTCAGCCAAGTGCAAAAACTGGGTTTCTGGGATCCCAGGCAGAGCTCCCCCAACCCCTGCACCTCATTGTCTTTACATGGAAGGTCCCCACCCTCGGCCACCTGGAATCCCTTTGTCATAAACCAGCCACCTTCCTCCCCAAGCCTGTCCCCAGGACTAGAGAGGAGGGGCCCAGGCCATTTCCCATCAGGGTCCCAAGGCCATCGTCTGGTCGTGGGCCAGGAATTCCTTTCAGCACTGAAAATAATTCAGAACCCTTGGAGGCCTCCAAGAGTCTGGATTCCCATCGCACCCAAGTCTTGCCTGTCGGCCCCCTCAACACACACACACACACACACACACACACACACACACACACACCCTCTTCTGCAGTCGGCCCCAACCGACCGCAGTGCTCAGCTCCCGCCTGCATGCACGAGTTCCACACCCTGCCCACAGCCCAGTACTCTCTTCCCGGCCTTCTCCAAGTAGGCAGGAGGAAGGGCCACCGGGAAGGCGCAAAATCCATCATCCCTCTGAGCCAACCTAGGAAGCCACAGGCAGAGGCCGGGAAGGAGCCCCCAAGAAACAGAGAACGAGGCGGAAACCGAGGGGCACAGAGAGACAAAGAGGGAGAGAGTATGGGTGTTTAGATCCAGATAAGGACTCAGAGGGAGAGATGAAAGGCACAGAACCGAGAAAAGAGACGGGGGAGAGGGAACTCTCAGAAAGTAGGCTTAGAAGAAGAGCATAGAGGAGAGGGAGCCCGAGAGCGCAGAGGCGAAGGCAGAGGCCCTCGGGGAGCCGGGGGCGCGCGGGCCCCGGCCCGGTGCAGGGCGCAGGGCGTGGGGGCCGCAGGGCGCGCAGAGGGCGCGCGGGTCCGGGGTCCCGGGGTCCCGGGGTCGCGGGGGGCGGACCCTCTCCCGGCGCCCGGCCCCGCGGCAGCCGTCCGAGCGGCCGCATTCCTCCGGGTTTCCCACACATTCGCCATCAAAGCGTCCCCAAAGCCCCGGCTTTTCCCGCGCCCCTCCCCCGCCGGTGGCTGGAGAAGCTATTTTTCACCCCCTCCTGGTCTTTAATCTGTTGTGGGGAAAGAAAGCGGCTTTTGTTGGACGAGGGGCTGCGCAGGGGGCGGGGAGGGGGCGCAGCGATTGTGTGTCCCGCAGCTGCGCGCCCGGCACCGCCGTG